ACTGAGGCCCTGACTAACTGAGGCCCCCCCTAACCGAGGCCCCTACTAACTGAGGCCCTGACTAACTGAGGCCCCTACTAACTGAGGCCCCTGCTAACTGAGGCCCTGACTAACTGAGGCCCCTGCTAACTGAGGCCCCCCCTAACTGAGGCCCCCGCTAACCGAGGCCCCTACTAACTGAGGCCCTGACTAACTGAGGCCCCTATTAACTGAGGCCCCTGCTAACTGAGGCCCTGACTAACTGAGGCCCCTACTAACTGAGGCCCCTGCTAACTGAGGCCCTGACTAACTGAGGCCCCTGCTAACTGAGGCCCCTACTAACTGAGGCCCCTACTAACTGAGGCCCCCCCTAACTGAGGCCCTGACTAACTGAGGCCCCTACTAACTGAGGCCCCTACTAACTGAGGCCCCTACTAACTGAGGCCCCTGCTAACTGAGGCCCTGACTAACTGAGGCCCCTACTAACTGAGGCCCCTACTAACTGAGGCCCCCGCTAACTGAGGCCCTGACTAACTGAGGCCCCTACTAACTGAGGCCCCTGCTAACTGAGGCCCTGACTAACTGAGGCCCCAGCTAACTGAGGCCCCCGCTAACTGAGGCCCCCGCTAACTGAGGCCCCTGCTAACTGAGGCCCTGACTAACTGAGGCCCCTGCTAACTGAGGCCCCTGCTAACTGAGGCCCTGACTAACTGAGGCCCCTGCTAACTGAGGCCCCAGCTAACTGAGGCCCCCGCTAACTGAGGCCCTGACTAACTGAGGCCCCAGCTAACTGAGGCCCCCGCTAACTGAGGCCCCTACTAACTGAGGCCCCTACTAACTGAGGCCCTGACTAACTGAGGCCCCTACTAACTGAGGCCCCAGCTAACTGAGGCCCCCGCTAACTGAGGCCCCTACTAACTGAGGCCCTGACTAACTGAGGCCCCCCCTAACTGAGGCCCCTGCTAACTGGGGCCCCCCCTAACTGAGGCCCCTACTAACTGAGGCCCCCCTAACTGAGGCCCTGCTAACTGAGGCCCCTACTAACTGAGGCCCTGACTAACTGAGGCCCCCCCTAACTGAGGCCCCTACTAACTGAGGCCCCCCTAACTGAGGCCCCTACTAACTGAGGCCCCCCTAACTGAGGCCCCTACTAACTGAGGCCCCTACTAACTGAGGCCCTGACTAACTGAGGCCCCCCCTAACTGAGGCCCCTACTAACTGAGGCCCCCCTAACTGAGGCCCCTACTAACTGAGGCCCGGCCCTGCTAACTGAGGCCCCTACTAACTGAGGCCCCTACTAACTGAGGCCCCTGCTAACTGAGGCCCCCCCTAACTGAGGCCCCTACTAACTGAGGCCCCCCTAACTGAGACCCCTACTAACTGAGGCCCTGACTAACTGAGGCCCCTGCTAACTGAGGCCCTGACTAACTGAGGCCCCTACTAACTGAGGCCCCTACTAACTGAGGCCCTGACTAACTGAGGCCCCAGCTAACTGAGGCCCCCGCTAACTGAGGCCCCTGCTAACTGAGGCCCCTACTAACTGAGGCCCTGACTAACTGAGGCCCTGCTAACTGAGGCCCCTACTAACTGAGGACCCTGCTAACTGAGGCCCTGACTAACTGAGGCCCCTGCTAACTGAGGCCCCTGCTAACTGAGGCCCCCGCTAACTGAGGCCCTGCTAACTGAGGCCCCTACTAACTGAGGCCCCTACTAACTGAGGCCCTGACTAACTGAGGCCCCCGCTAACTAAGGCCCCCGCTAACTGAGGCCCTGCTAACTGAGGCCCCAGCTAACTGAGGCCCCCGCTAACTGAGGCCCTGCTAACTGAGGCCCCTACTAACTGAGGCCCTGACTAACTGAGGCCCCTGCTAACTGAGGCCCCCGCTAACTGAGGCCCCCGCTAACTAAGGCCCCTAATAACTGAGGCCCCTAATAACTGAGGCCCTGACTAACTGAGGCCCCTGCTAACTGAGGCCCCCGCTAACTGAGGCCCCCGCTAACTAAGGCCCCTAATAACTGAGGCCCCCGCTAACTAAGGCCCCTAATAACTGAGGCCCTGACTAACTGAGGCCCCTGCTAACTGAGGCCCCCGCTAACTGAGGCCCCCGCTAACTAAGGCCCCTAATAACTGAGGCCCCCGCTAACTAAGGCCCCTAATAACTGAGGCCCTGACTAACTGAGGCCCCCGCTAACTGAGGCCCCTACTAACTGAGGCCCTGACTAACTGAGGCCCCTAACTGAGGTACCTTGCTGGCCCCTCCCATTGTCTCCTCCTCTTAGTGGTTCCTGGTTAATTATCTGTCAATCAGAATGGGTGGATCTGATTGGCTGTTGAATAGTCGTTCAGGTATTTTTTCTTTCTGTCGCACCTTGAAGCTCTGAAGCAGCAAACATCCAAAACTGCTGTTTTTACCAATTATCTGCATTTTATTCAAAGCTCTTGGCTCCAGTTTTCCTTTCTAAGTTTCTAGGAAGGATTATTTTGAAACACTTTCATCCTATTCTGATTGTTCAAACATTTCATGGAAGTCTTTGTATTAAAATATAGCATTATGAAGATTATTAATTATAGCAAAACTAGCATCTATTAGCTGCTCTGCATTAGCCTGCTAAAGCTTAATATGAAGTGTAACAAAGCTGTGGCTCTGCTCTGCCTGGGATTACTGCAGCATAGCTGCCCTGTTGGTGGGGGGGGGGGGGGGGGGGGGGGAGCTGGCAGCAGGCAGGGATAATGCTGCACTGTGGCACGGTATGTGAGCCGGGATAATAATGCTGCGGTTCATACCGGCGTTTCTCAACCAAAGTGAGAAGCTCCCACTTCCTGAATACCCACCATGACAGAAACAGGGAGCCGATGGAGGAAATATTCCATCCGCGCTGCGGTTGGATGTCTTTACAGTGGGACTTTAATGCTGTGGATAGCTGAGGCTTTGCTAGCTTTGCTTTACTGGAAGGATGCTTGTTCTTTGGTGAAATGAGGCCGCTAACAGGCCTGAGACTTGGTAGTTTGCTTTATATTTTATTCAGGTCTTCCAGTTATTCATCCCTACATGGTTTAAGTTACTTCCACTGATATGCAGAATAAACCTGCTAGATTTTTACCAACCGGAAGGAAAACTTTACAGCTTTCAGTTAGAATTCTGAAAAGTGCGGCATGCTTTTATATCCATCCCTGTTGAAAGAAGGCTTCATTAAAACCACCTGTAGCTGGACTTCAGTTCTGTCTCTACCAGCCGTACAGCTGCAGGTTTATAAAAGCAGCTGGAGCTCCGTCACCTTCAGTGATTTTCAGTCTGTGACTTTGACTAGGCCATTCTACTTCTCCATTTCTATGTCATGGAGGCTCTCAGGAGCGTTTCCTCTTTAGCGGGCAGTGATCTCACTGTGCAAAAAGGTGATCCTGTGTTTGTGACTGTGCTGCAGCGGCCAAAGTGAACAGAGCAGCCGGACAGCGGAGGGAAATAAAACGCAGATGGACATCTGATGGATGTCTGATGGACATCTGATGGACATCTGATGGACATCTGATGGGTGTCTGATGCGCTGCATGCAGCATGTCATAATGCTGCGCTGCCAATTAGAAGCAGGCCATTCTCTCTGCGTTTCCATGGAGACGGTTTATAGCTAATAACCGTGTTTAGCAGTCGAGCCGTGCTGAATAAACAAACTGAGCTTCATGTTTTCCTCCTTTAGCGCCTCTAACGACACGTTTAGCTCTAAACGGGATGCCGCCTCTATGGTCTTCTTATTATCAGCACAAACATTAAAGCGCTAAATTATTTCTCTAATTATCACAAATGAATAATTTCATAACAAATGAGACACATTTCCAAAAACTGCATCTAAGTAAATAAACAGTAACCTTAGGCTTAGTAGGGCAAATAAAGCATTAAAAACCAAAATGTGCACGCAGGAATGTTTAAATGTGTTTGAAGTAAAAAGCAAAAATAATTACTCTTATTTATACTTTTACTATATTTAATTAATTAATAACTTTTTATGAACTACTGAGATAAAACTGTCCTGATGGGCCTCATAAAGTCAGATTTTATCTTTCTCACCTTTTTCCTCCAATAGATTAAATATTGTAATGTATTACTGGGCGAGTTAACTGACCACTTCCTGTTTGCTGCTAACTGGGCTAAAGTTAGCGTCTGCTTCAGAGCGGCCTGTAAGGCCTCAGCTTCAGTCAGAGGAAGAATCACCAGGATTAATGAACAATCTTTAATGAAACCTTTCCTCTCTTTGAGAAAACTAAATGGAAGAACATTAATATTTTTATGGAATTAACACCAAATTAAAAAGAAATAAGGCATCAAAGCCACAATATCTGGACTTAAATACCAGATTAATTCAGTTATTATCAGTTTGTTTTAATATCCCGGTTTTTATTTTGGTTTCTGTAGAGAAAAAAACATTTTTATTTTCTACAAACTTAACTCTTATTTTTCATGGCAGCATCAGGTTTGATTTTCTCTCAGCTGATTTTTTTATTCTTTTCATGTTTATTTGGGAGAAATGAAAACTTAAAGTAGATTCGCTTGTTTCGGTTTGTTCTTTTTTATTGATGCAGAAACACAAACGATGAAAATCAGAAGTGAGTTTTTATGAATGTGGAAATAAAAAGCTTTAAACTTGAACAGAATGATGGAACCAGTAAGTAAACATTGTGCTGTTCCCAGTTTGGTGCTGGTATATAAACCTGGAAATGAAGAGTGGGTGCGGTAACATTATGGGCCGATTCCTCAGTGCAGCAGGTTGAGTAATACGGTGTGGCAGAATCCTGCCAAATCTGTCCAGCGAAGGGAAATTACAGGCCACATTTAACTCTGATGAGCCAAAACATTGCAGCCAGCGCAGCTCAACCCGGAGCTGCTGAGGACCAGACTCTCCAAACGCTGCATCTGAATCAGACCCAGAAATCTGAGGATTAAAGCCTGGAACGCAGTGCAGACGGGGGGACGGAGCAGGTGAGTGGGAGGAGCCTCTTCCTCACTGCTTGTTGTTTGTGTCTCCTGCAGAGCTGCAGAGGGAGGGCAGCATCGAAACCCTCAGCAACAGCTCGGGCTCCACCAGCGGCAGCATCCCGCGCAACTTCGAAGGATACCGCTCCCCTCTGCCCACCAACGACAGCCAGCCGCTCAGCCTGTTCCCCACCACCTTCCCCTGAAGCCCCGCCCACTCAGGCAGCCGCTGGAGGCCAGATTCAGGAGCTGCAGAAACATCAGCTGATTTTTTTATTTTTTTATGAATGAATTATCTGATGACCAGAGAAGAATCGCTTTATTGTTGCCTCCAAACATGTAGTAGAAGGTGTTGATGACTCTGATGCGTCAGGAAGACGGCCTCCTCTGCTGCCCCGCCCCCACGCCGTCCCTGAGGTCTGAGGCCTGTCGTCTGTTCGGGTCGCAGGAGAAGCAGCTCGACAGCAGAGGAGAAAATGTTTATTCCAGTTAGTGACGTGTAGCAGCTCCTTGTTTCCCTGTGTGTGTGTGTGTGTGTGTGTGTGTGTGTGGCCGCTCCCCAAATGTTTCTGATTAAATTTACTCTTCTTGCCTTTGATTTTGGTGTAATTCCATTTGACAAAGACGCAGTAATGAGATGACACTATTACTACACGCTGAAGTCATTTAGATGTTTACAGTAGAACTTTTTCTGCTTTTATTTACAGCCTCTCCGTTTGGTGCGTCCTGATTGGCTCGCTGACGTCTTTGTTTTTTTAACATGTTTTGACCAAAATTTAGAAAAATGTTTAGATGTTTGTGTAACCATATTTTCCTTAGATGTGATGATTTTTTTCCTGTTTCATGATCTTCCGGCTCTTTCCTTTCTGCCGCCTCTTTATGAAATGATGTTAAATAATTGCAGGTTTTCTGCGTGAAGTTTATCAGAGGGACGGAGTGGAGCGTGAATCTAGATATTCAGAACATCTGCTTGTTGTAGATCTATTCCCAGCATTCATGCATTAAAAGCTTAATAAAAGTGGAATAAATTCATGAAGTGTTTTTTTGCTGTGAATCTGTTCTTCCCGTTTTAACGGCAGCAGTGACCATCAGCACACAGACGCAGAGGTAATTAGCGCCGTGTTCCTCTCAGCCAGTAAAGTATTGTTAAAAGGCCTTTTTACTGCCGGCTCTGGGCTCTGAAAGGCTCCGTTTGGGCTTCTTTCTTTTATTTCAATCTGCTCTACTTGAATCCCAGAAGTCGTCTTTTCAAACTTAAACAACAAAATAAAAGATGGAAGTCTGGCCTTCAGCCAGATTGAGGTTAAATAGAAAAACTGCTTTCCTGGATTTGGTCTCATTAGAATGAGAAACGGCATCTTGAGGTGAGTCTCTGAGCCTGAAACCATCTAATAAGAAGCTTTTCTCCTGTTTATCTAAAGAAACAGTCATTTCCAGGGCGGCTTTGCATTCCCAGTTTGTTTTATTGAAGCTTCTGACAGCAGTTAACACACTGAGGCCGCGTTTCCAACAGAAATACAAACTTAATACATCCATGAAATGCTTTCTGTGCTGAAAACTGACTGAACAGAAGCAGGTCCAAACAGTTTACTGCTTCTCAGCTTTGAGGAGCAGAAGATCAAAGTTTTCACCCCCCTGTTAAAATTTATTTTAAGACTTAAAAAGTAGAAATCCTGATAGGCATCTTCCTTTTGGTTTTCCCATAATATGATTTTATCCAGGATAATTTAATGAAATAAAAGCCAATTTGTTGAAGGGAAAAACATTTAGAAAAAAAATCACCTGTTTGCTAAAATCTGTTTATCTAAGAACCTAAAAGCCGATTTGTTACCAAAATTATTTTGATACTGAGAAATAAATTCCCTCAATTTTACCTTTGTAGCAAAAATATACCTATAAATATTTATGCTACCTTTGTAGCATAAACAAATAACTTTTTTTTTCATTATATCAATTTTCTCACATAAAGAGAAGAAGAGAAAACAAAATGTAAAGAATCAGCCCAAACTAATCAATAGCAGATCAGACTGATCATTATCAGCCCTAAAAAAAAAACTGTTTCCCACAGCATACAGAAAATATTACACATAATATGAATATATTTATAATTAACAATATAAAAGGATTATTAATTATAGAAATATATTTTAAAAGTTGAGTGAAAAACTGTGTTCAAAATTATTTCAATTCTTTAAATAAATTGATTTAAAAAAAATTCTTTAATGACTTTACAGAAAAAAACAACTTATTTTTACTGGTTCTTTGTTGTTTGGTTGTGATTCTCCCAGTTTTAGTGGAGAAGAGTTTTCATCAGTTTAGGATGTTTTTAAAGATGCTTCAGACTCAAACTGAAAATCCCTCAGAAGGCGACTGAGCTGCTAGTTTAAGGGTTTAAGCACTTTTCATTTCTTTCTTTTTACTGTTTTTCAGGTTGATAAAATGTAGGCTTATTGTATGAATCATTGATTTTGAATATTGATCTGATAAAATAAAGCCTTTGTTCAAAAAAAAAATCCCATTAAAGATGAAAAAAGTTTGTTAATTCAGAAAGTTTTCTAAACTGGCTCAGTTTGAGTTCCTGTTTATGGTGGAAGCAGAAGTTTTTCATAACCAGGATCTCAGGATCTGATGTCTGAAGTAAAACAGGATTTTATATTCGCTTTAATCTTCATCACAGGGCAGAGCTCAGCCTCTAACTTACTGCTTCTTTATGACAAATAACGTCTCAGCGTGAAACAATATCTGACAAACTCTATTAACCACATACACACATGTACGGAAAACAAAATGATAAAATCAATGGTGGACAAACGCATCAATACAGACATTATTTCTTTTTTTTATCTTTGATAAATCAGCCTCCTGTTCACCTGAGAGGATGTCTGTGTGCAGCTCTGGAGCAGAACCAGAACATCCTGGGAGCCGAAACTCAGGAGCAGAAAAAACGGTGAAAGAGAAACATGAGGTTTCTATTGGTCTTTTTCCTCAGGTGGTTCTCAGTGGTTCTTTATGCTGAAAGCAGAAAGCAGCAGATGGATTCAGGTGGAGCAGATCTACCTGGAGAGGAAGCTGCTGAGCACGACCTGCATCCTTCTTTAATGGTTCCAATGCAGTTTAAAGGAGTCGGTCAGCAGGAGAGGAAACGCCTCGTCCTCCAACATCAGTCACCTGAGAGGAGTCTGAGGAATTTAATCTAATTCAACTTTATTGATCTCATAATTCACTGCATTTAACCCATCGCCTTGGGGAGCAGAGAGCTGCCATTGTGCAGGGAGCAGGGGGTTAAGGGTCTTGCTCAGGGACCCAGAGGCTGTGGGATGGGGCTCCAACTCAGAACCTCAGGATTCCATGATCTATGTAGCTCTGTGCCATAACCACTAGGCTGCCACTTCCCAAGAACTGGCATAAAGTGGGAGCTTCAGGTCCTGACCTGATACCAAATCACCTAAACCAAAGCCTGCAGTCTGCAGCATCATTAAGCTCTGCAGCATCATGAGGTTCTGCTGCAGCATGAGGTTCTGCAGCATCATGAGGTTCTACAGCAGCATGAGGTTCTGCAGCATCATGAGGTTCTACAGCAGCATGAGGTTCTATTTCATCCCTACTGACCGCCAGAGGCGGTGCTTCAAGCACCGCCTCTGGCGGTCAGTAGGGATTCATAGAACCGTAGTTACGGTAGTAACTACGGTTCTATGAATCCCTACTGACCGCCTCTGGCGGTCAGTAGGGATTCATAGAACCGTAGTTACGGTAGTAACTTTCGTTCTGCAGCATCATTAAGCTCTGCAGCATGAGGTTCTGCAGTAGAACCTCATGCTCTGGCTTTTAGGATCTAGCAACAACGGTTCTGCTCAGACGGTGGAAGGTTTGCTTCATGAGGTCAGAGACATTAAGTGCTTCTTTATTACATAATTAAACAAAGGAGATTTCTTTATTTCTAATCCAGATTCTAAATGATTTATATGATTTCAGGCTAACATATATATATATATATATATAAATATATATATATATATATATATATATATATATTTATTTATTTATTTTTTTTTTTCTTTTCTTTTAAGATTTATTTAAAAACTATTTTATTTCATTTTGAAATTCTGCTTTTCTTCAAACACTCTATCGCTGCTTTACTCCCACCAAACAGCAAATGTTTCGTTTCAGGTCAGAAAACTTTCCTAAAGGTTTTTTTTTTTAATTCGCTCAACTTTAACTGGAAAGAGCCGGAAGTAAAAAACGGCAGCTGACCTTTGACCCACATGGTCAGCTGATCCGCAGCCTTTATTCCTTTATTCATATTTTTCATATAGCCGCCGCCCTCCAGCTGTTTTAAAATAAAATAAAATTCTGTTTAAATTTCAATCTTAGAATAATAAACTGAACTTTTTTGCAGATGGATTAATCGGGATTAATTGACTGGTAATCTCTCTACATCACTGGATTAATTGATTGTTTGATTTAATTCCTAAACATGGTGCCATTATTCCGATAAATAAACTCACTGATTGTTTTTTATTCTTTATTCTTTTTTAATTAATGTCTCAGTAATTCTTTTTTTTTCTTGCGGCCGTAAAAGTTCAGAAGCTCCGAAGGTTTTTTTATTAGAAGCAAAATAATTTAAAGCGGTTTCAATGTTTTTCCTGGATAATTTATTTTAAAACATTGCCCTGAAACACTCGCTGATCCTTTTCCATTTATTCTCTGTCTTTAAACTCATTTTAAAGTGCATCGAAATTAATTCTACTGACTGATATGAAAATTAGGATTAATTATTATAAAACCGCAGAACAAAGAGATGGAGGCGGCAGCAGCAGCCAGGATGGTTTAAGGACAAAATACCAACAAATAAAAAATCTGCTTGAATTTCTGAGAACTTTGGAAATTTGATCCACTTGTAGGAAAATAAATAAATGTTTTATTATTGTTGTTTTACTTTTGACAGCCTGTTGAAACAGATGAATCTGTGGCAGATGAATAAAAGAGACTCATCAACCTGCGGGAGTTTTTGCGCACCGCTGGATCAGTGAGGATGAGGATGAATGAAACGGATCTTCCTCAGTCAGTGTGAAGCTGCAGAGTTTCTCTGAAGCTGATCAGACCTTCTGAGGCTGATGTGACACTTCGGTCACTCGGGATCACCACAGCGCCCCCACCTGGTGTCCCACCTGTCGCCTGGCTGTGCTTTCCACAGTAGATCAAAGTGCATTCCTCTGACAGTCACTGGAAATGTGTGACTCAGTGACCAGAGTTCATTTTGGAGTCAAACTGATCTGCGAACAGAACATCTATCGCTGCGAAAAGTTAGACTGTTGGAGCTGATTTCATGAAACAGAGAAAAGAAAAGTGCAGCAGGAGGAGAAGGAAGAGATGAAGCAGGAGAGATGGGGGGGGGGGGGTGCAATGGGCGGGGAGGGAGGCAGAAGGAGGAGGAAAAGAGAAAAGGAGGAGGAGGAGGAGGAGAGGGCCGCTGGTCCATGTGACAAGGGGAAATATGAGGGACTTTGACAGGTCTTAAACGGTCTGGCGCCAAGGCCTCAGTCTAGCCGCTAAATATAGCAGAGAGATGATGTAGGGAGATGGGAGGAGAAGATGGAGAGATGAAAGGAAGAAGGGAACAATGTCTAGGAGAGAAACAAAACAACAATACTCGATTATGGACGAATGTGGCGCAAAACTGTCTGACTGAATTGTAATTAGAGCATCTTTGGCCCGGATGGCTGATCCAAACAGCCAGGATGCGCTTTTTACGCACATCTCTACATCTGCAGCTCTACTCTGCTGCACCGAGCAGACAAACCAAGGACACTCACAAAAAAAATGTTCTTTTCAACTTCCTGTATAAAAAAGCATCAGATCGGCGGTTAATTATATTTAAATATGAGCTGCAGCGGGATCAGATGACCCGCATCCAACCTCCCAACTCCTCTCCAAGATCCTGAGGATAATAAGCTCTCTATCATCTTAACTTTATAAAAAATCTAACATAGGCCTACAAAGTTTGTTTTGCGCATTTTTTGCTCTCTGCTGCACATCCGCAGCTCCATCAAAGAGCATTTTACTGTCTGCTTCCATTAATCCCCAACACAGAGGATGTGTTAATCTGTCAGCGCACAGCCCCGAGAATTACCAGCAGTTCTCCTCCGACTTAATGACTTTTAAATCGCGCGTAATGGAGATTTCTCTGCCGTTTGAGGGCACAGAACAAATAAATGGTGACTAATTTGCACCAGCATTGTTGATACAATTACCCAGCTGAGTTTTCCGGCAGAAAACCGTTATCCGCCTCCATATGTTCTTCATTTTTTCTCCTCTCTGATCAGCTTTGAAAACAACAACAAAAAGTCAGCGGCTCCCTCTGACCCGCAGTCCTGCCGGGCTGGAGGTGCCGCTCTGCTGCAGGCAGGTGCGGCCTCCTTTCACCCTCCTTCAGACAAACACTGGATGTGAGCATTGTCATTTTTTAACATTCTGACGCGATTCTGGCGCCAGTTGCTTCCTATAAAGAATAAAAGTCCTTTCTGAGCTCATCCCGTGCAGACAGGCCCGGCCTGCATGCTGCTTGCTGCCACATGGCTGCAGGAGCAACAAGTGAGCAACACTGGAGATGAGCAACGATTCAACTGTTTATGCAACATTGGCAGCATTTTTAGGTTAGTAGATAATTTATTACTGCAACTCTGAAGCCAATTCAGTTACATTTCTTTTCTTTTCTTTCTTTTTTGTTTTTGTTGTTTTTCGTGTTTTATATTTTTATTTAGTGTTTTTTTGTTTTTGTAAATTTTGCTGGAATAAAGCGAATAAAACAATGAAAATGCATTAGAATATAATAGACCAACCTGGTGTAAATATAAACTTTAGATTTATTAATAATATTCAGAGCTCTTTAGGAGCCAGTCGTGGTATTTTTAGCGGCTCGCAGCGGAAGCAGCTCGATAGGAAATGCGTGTCTGTCTTATTCAGAGGATGATCACTTTTTGTTTCTGTTTTTGTTTTCTAAGTGACTCCAGCAGAGCAGCTGCTTCACCGAAAACAACGGAAAAAAGACTGAGCTCACATCTGACAGCGAGGCGAAGAAGTGGAGCGGAGCCGCAGATGAGGCGGCAGAGGGGGCCCGGGGGCCGGGGGGGGGGCCCGCACATGCAGCGCTTCAGGCTAAACACTAAGAGACAGGAGATTGTTGTGGATGCGGCGCATCAGCAGACTGGCGCCGGCCGCCTCTCTGGCTGACTGAGGCGGGTTCAAGCAGCAGCCCAGGCTGCGTCTGGAGGCCTGTGCGTGCGGGAGCCCCGCACGGTCCGCACCGTTTGACCAGACCCCCCCCATCCAGAGACCCGCGCTGCCTCGGCCCGCTCTCAGCTCCACTCTGCGCTAAATCATCGCTGCGCCTCCTGATGTGGAAGTAGAAGCGCTGCAGGAGGAAACATCAGCGACGCTGAGCAGCAAGAAAAATAAAAAATAACAATAAAATAAATGATCTAAAAATAAAGCAGAAAGGTCCGTAAACTAACAAACAAGGAAGAATTTTAGTGAAGTGGAAACTCACCGCTTTCTTTTTTCTCAGACTAAATTCATCGTGAATCATTTCGTTTCCTCTTTTTTTTTTTTTTTTTTTTTTTTTTGCGCCTCTTCAGCCTCAGAGCTCCGCTGCTGCTGCTGCCGCCGCCTGACCAGGAAATACAGCCGGGCGGAGAGGCTCTCCCCTCGGACTGACCGGGGATGGTGAGGAGCGGATCCGCTCTGCGCGCCACGATCAGCCGCCTGCAGCGGGGCTGATGTGCAGAGAGGATTTCCTGTTCTAAACACGGACTGAAGCCGTGGAGCTGTTCCCCCGAATAAAGGTGAGTATTTAGACACTACGTCTGCAGACAGGTTGCCCCTTCTTCCGGAGGCGACATTGCAAAAAAGCAAACCGAGAGAGGTGATGCCTCCACCGGCCAGGCACTGAGGCTGACCCGCTGCTTGGCTTGGGAATGGGGGTGGGATTTCCCGATCTTTCCTGTCATTGGTTAATATTTTATTCTGTTGACATGTTTTCTTACTGCTAATGCTTCCGACACCTTCTTGCCTCTCCACCCCTCCTCCTCTGCTCTCCTAGAGTCTGGCCGGAGCTGTCAGAACCACGCCTATAGGGGCCCACAATTGGTCCAGAAAGCGTAAAATCAGCAATCAAAGGGGCTTGGTTCATTAGTGCTGAGGATGGAGGCAGGAAAGACATGTGAGATAGTAACAGATCAGCAGTGAACGGGGCCACATCTCCTCAGTCAGGCTGGAATGACCGGAGCAGGACGGACTTAGTGCAGCCGGGCTGAGCCGCCACAGCGCCGCCGACACCGAGGGACGCAGCCGAGGCATCGAGGGGGGAAAAGGCACCGGCAACAATTCTGGGCTGTTTTCTGCGCTAAAACACCGAGACTGTTTGGGCGAGCGGCTGCGGGCGTCTGCGCCGCCTGGAAGAAATAATCTGCGGTCGGAGCGCAGAGCTGCGCTGGCTGCTGGTCTGCGCGGAGAGACACTCAATCATCCATCGTTGTTTCACTTCGCTTTTTTGTGGATGCACCGATGAGAGATCCAGTTTTTACAGGGACTGCAATGGCTTATCACCCTTTCCACCCACACCGGCCGACCGACTTCCCCATGTCCGCCTTCCTGGCGGCGGCGCAGCCCTCCTTCTTCCCTGCGCTCAGCCTTCCTCCCGGGGCGCTCACCAAGCCCATCCCGGAGCACGGCCTGGCCGGAGCGGCGGAGGCTGGGCTGCACCCGGCCCTCAGCCACCATCAGGCGGCTCATCTCCGCAGCATGAAGAGCCTGGAGCCCGAGGAGGAAGTGGATGACGACCCCAAAGTAACGCTGGAAGCCAAGGATCTTTGGGACCAGTTTCATAAACTCGGGACTGAAATGGTTATTACCAAGTCTGGAAGGTAAGAAAATCCCGCAGCTTCTGTTTGTTTTCAGGGGTTTAGTTTCCATGTCGATCCGCAAAGACAGAAAATAAACTCAGCTTTAGGATTCAAGCTGCCTGCAAACATTAGGCCTCCAACAACAGATGGTTAGTCTGAAGTGAGGGAAAACAGCAGCTTTAGCTCCAATCACAGCTAAAATGTTTTGGTGTAAATTTATTTGCTGTTCTACTTTCTTTTTTCTTCCTTTTAGCTTTAGATCTAAACGTGGTTTATTTACAGTCCCACAGTCAGAGGATCACTGGCTGTTAGTGGGATTGAGTTCGGAGCCTTTTTGGGTTTTTATCTGTGCAGCTCCTTCATGGAGGCAGCAGAGCTCTGCTTCTATAAACAGGCTGTCACTTCAAAACGATCATAAATACACACACCGACACACACCGACACACACCGACACACACCGACACACACCGACACACACCGACACACACAGAGGATAGTTGGCTTTTCTCTGTAATAAAGAATAAAAAAGGTCTGCTGCAGTTTTCCTGCCCCCCCTCCAGCAGCGCGCTGACCCCTCCGTCTCTCCTCGCCTACAGACGGATGTTTCCCCCGTTCAAGGTGCGGATTAACGGCCTGGATAAAAAAGCCAAATACATCCTGCTGATGGACATCGTGGCGGCGGACGACTGCCGCTACAAGTTCCACAATTCCCGCTGGATGGTGGCGGGCAAGGCCGACCCGGAGATGCCCAAGAGGATGTACATCCACCCGGACAGCCCGGCCACCGGCGAGCAGTGGATGGCCAAACCTGTAGCCTTCCACAAGCTCAAGCTCACCAACAACATCTCCGACAAGCACGGATTTGTAAGTAAACTAAGTCTGTCTGAAAGTAGAGGATGGTTTATAAAAGTGGGAGCTGGATTTAAGGTGGATAAAGTCTTAGGAAAGCAGGTCTAGAAAATAAAATAAAATAAAATAAAAAAAACGCCTGAGTCAAGAATAAAACAAGAAAATATTTATTGGATAAAAAAATGTAAATATAAAAACAAAAGTTTTTCTAAACCCGAATCTTCTTGTTTAGACGCGTTGAAGCTTGTTGGCAGAGTTGATTTATTTCATAGCGGATTTATTATCAGTTTGTTTTTCTGCGGCAGACCGGCGGATCCCAGCCGGATCCCAGCCGGATCCCTGCCGGATCCCAGCTCCTCTGCTGGGAGGAAAAAAAATCCTGTGAGCCGAAGGATCAGGAGGATTATCAGAGGAAATATGAGGGAAAGACATCCCACCTAAACGGAATAGATCGGCTCTCTAAAATCTCTGGGCTCGTTTTATTTGTAGTTTTTATTTTTTATAAATTGTTAAAAAGTTGGAAAGTTGAGGTAAATGTAGAGAAACTGATGAGCAGCTCCATAAAAGCTGCAGGAGGATTTCAGCGTTTGTTAAATTAAATGTTTTAATGGTTGGAAATAATAAAAAAAATCATCCATATTTTCTCACCATTACGGCTCTTTTTCAAATGTTCAAATATTTTATGTATATTTAATTTTTTTTTAATTCTCTGGAAATGAGCGCAGAAATAATTTTTGAAATTCTACTTTAATTTGGATAATTTCAGCAGATTTTTAGCTGGAACATGTTTTATTTTTCTGTGGTTTTTCTCCACCGTGCGGCCTTTTCTCTGAACTAATGACAGACAGTAATGAGAGCAGAGAGCGGATCTGGTATTTACTCCAAAGCTGTGCTGTTTGTGTGTGTTGGTCCAGACCATCCTGAACTCCATGCACAAGTACCAGCCCAGGTTCCACATAGTGCGGGCCAACGACATCCTCAAGCTGCCCTACAGCACATTCAGGACCTACGTGTTCCCGGAGACCGAGTTCGTGGCGGTGACCGCCTACCAGAACGACAAGGTGAGCCGCTAATATGGCCGCTATGTTTTGCATCATAAATGCCCCCCACCGCCAAAACCCCCATGACTTAATCTGATTTTGTAGGTCGCCTAATTTCCCTGCTGAGGACTCCCATGTTCCACTTGCTTTTTTAATTGCTTGGATTTGTGTGAGGAGCAGATTTATCCTCCTGTGAAGCTCGGCAGCCTCTGCGCCGCAGCTTTACGCACGCATGGCGGCGCGCAGGGACGCAGAAAAACTGGATTATTTGGTGGCGTCAATTATAGAGCGGCCCGACCATGATTTTTTTAAATTATTAATATTTTGCTAATTTAATCTGATCCATTTTATTTAAATTCAACTGCTGGAATAAATGTTGTTAAAAGTTTGTGGCAAAGAAGCAGCATCCATGAGACCCAGTTAGAAAGGCTGCGGCGGACTTAAAGCTCTGATCCCGGTCCAGTTCGGATTAGACCCGGTCCAGTTCGGATTAGACTCGGTCCAGTTCAGATTAGACTCGGTCCAGTTCGGACTAAACCCGGTCCAGTTCGGAACGGACTGCCGTTGCAGCTGTGGTCCAATCCGCATCAATTATGGATGCTTCTTATTTGTTGCAGCGCTCCAGTTATTTGCCTGTTTCTCCATGAAGGCTATTTCTCTCTGGGGGGCGATGATGAGAATAACGCCCTTTCTACACATTTATTAATAATGCAGCTGCAGGGTTGCAGCGGTGGCTTAATCCCAGCATTAGTAACCAACTGCTGAAACTATCGGTGCTTCATTTAAATGTCGGCCTCCAGGTTTTTGACTGCAGCTCCTGCTTCTCTTCCGGCAGATAACGCAGCTAAAAATCGACAACAATCCTTTTGCCAAAGGATTCAGAGACACTGGAAACGGCAGGAGGGAGAAAAGGTAGGAGCACCTGCACGATGACGGCATATGCGCACGCGCGCCTCTTATTATTATTATTATAATTGTTTATTACTATGAATTAATTTTCAGGAAACAGCTGACCATGCCGTCGCTGCGGATGTATGAGGACCAGTGCAAAGCGGACCGTGAAGGCGCGGATTCGGACGCCTCCTCCACTGAGCCTCAGGCCGGCCGGGATGGAGTCCAGTCCCCTCTGGGCACCAGCAGCAGCCCGCTGAGGTTCAGCAGGACCAGCAGAGGTGAGAAATATCACCGCTCATCTGAACAGAATTAATCCCAGAATCCGAACCTAGATTCTGCTGCTTAATCCGGAATGATAGCGTTCCTCTGTTGCTCATCAAATCGGATTAATCAGATTCTGTCCCTCTGGATGTTTTTACGTTGCTATTTACCTGAGCTAACAATAAAATCATCACTATTATTATTATTATTATAATAATAGTTTTATTTTAAAATGTTTACAGAAACATTAGTAAAGTTATTGATGTTGGAAAAATAATTAACTTTATTTATTTTATTCGTTTATTTTAAATGGACAGTTAATGAACATTTCGGAGTCATTTTTAGCTGTGAAGCAAGTTTTCAACTGTTTTCCCTTCTGGGCAAGATTATAAAAATATTACACAACAAACAATAAAAATGTAAGAAAATTGAGGCTGCATGCCTCATAGGGCAGGTCAGAGATATTCAGATATTTACAGAATAAAACCATCCTGACATTTGGCACCAGGACATCTAATCAAGTCTAATGAGCAGATTGTTGATTTGATTTTAAGCAGTTTGTTTAAACTGAGTCCTGAATGTGTTAAAAGTGGAGGATCTCTGATAGTGAGAGGGATGCTGATCCAGATGTTCCAGCTGCTGACTGAAAGACCAATCAGGCCAAAGGTCTGAAGGTCACATCGCTCTCCTAGACCCACCGGCTTTGCCAGAAAAGGATTTCAGTTTTATGGATTCCCTTCATGGCGGCGGTGCCAGTCCATTTAGAAACTTTATCAAATTTAAGGTCGTTAAAATTCCCAAAGTTGAGGAGATTTTAAGTCTCAAGAATTCAACAATGGTGGTAGAAACGATTTCAATTCTTTTTTTTTTTTTTTTTCAAAATAAATTAAAATCATCTTCATTCCTCTGAATCCAGCCCCCCCAAATAAGAAATGTTCCATTTTCCTACTTTTCTTCATTTAGAAATATTTTTCATTGAATTATTAAATAAAAATTGAAACACTTTGACTCCTAATCAGCTCGTTTTGAGTGGTTGTTGTTTTTTCTGTTCTGTCTGTTTGTTGCCTTGCTGGGGAATTTGTCTCAGACATCTTTGTAATTTGTGGGTTTCAGATGAGAAGGCGTGCACAGACAGCGAGCAGGAGCTGGAGCAGCAGGACGAACGCTGCACGGGCTCCAACAGCCCAGGGGCCGAACCCGTGTCCCCCTACAGCTCCAGGTGTGAGGAGCGAGCGAGGGAACGGCCCAGTGCAGAGAAGAAGGACGAATCCATATTCAGTATAAGGAATCTGGAGAAGGACAAATCAGAGAGCAGGCACAGGAAGGACACCACGGAGGCGTTGACAAAGGACCCTGAGGCTGGAGGCCCCGGGGCCACTAAGGACACCTTCTCTCCTCTAGTGGTTCAAACTGAGAGCCCCTCACACTTCAGCCCAAGTCACTTACAAAGCCTGGCTCTGTCTGGGCTTCACAGTCAGCAGTTCTTTAACCCCCTGAACACCGGATCACCGCTTTTGTTTCATCCTGGCCAGTTCGCCATGGCCCCCGGAGCCTTCTCTGCTATGGGAATGGGGCATCTACTGGCCAGTGTTTCTGGAGCCGGCGCTTTGGAAAACGGCAGCCTCTCTGGCCAAAGCGCAGGAGGAACGCCCAGCCCCTTCCCCTTCCACCTGTCCCAGCACATGCTCGCCTCTCAGGTAAGGAACCTTTCCTGTCTGCAGGACTGAACTGATAGCAGGGAACAGGAGCTCATCCTCTTGGTTCTGTTTATTCTGACCTCCACATACCTGCAGCTAACCTGCAGGATTAGTATAAATCGCTGCATTCTGCTTTTCCCTCATTGTTCCTTCAGATGTTCGTTGCTCTGCTGTCAGACCAGCCCTGCCTTTCAGATCTTTTCAAATGAATCCGTTTTTTGCTTAGAATCTAAATTGGCCTGTTTTTCCTCTGTGTTGCAGGGCATCCCCATGCCTCCCTTTGGGGGCCTCTTTCCCTATCCATACACCTACATGGCAGCTGCAGCTGCTGCGGCTTCAGCTTCGGCCTCGGCTCTCCCTGCCACCAGCACCCCCAGCCCCCTCTCCAGGAATCCCTTCCTGGGCTCGTCCCGCCCCCGCCTACGCTTCAACCCCTACCAGCTCCCCGTGTCTCTGCCCCAGAGCTCCAGCTTACTCACCACAGGCCTGCCCGGCAGCCTGGGCCTGGGCTCCGAGTCCTCCAAACCAGGCAGCCGGGAGAGCAGCCCGGCCCCCGATCACCACAGCAACCATAAGACTGGAGGGTCGTCTGGAAGGACGGCCTCTCCCAAAAGCTCCATGAAAGACTCTGTAAACGAGCTGCAGAGCATCCAGAGACTGGTCAGCGGCCTGGAGGGGCAGCGGGAGCCCCCCTCCAATGCAGACTCTCCCAAGTGATTAGGACTGAGCGCACGGGGGCCAGGGCAGTTCAGCACATCGCAGAGACTGATATGAGGGTCTGACAGATGAGAATCAACAAAGATATTTTCAGAACAAATCTGCAGGTACATAAAAATATACTCCATGATAATAAATCAGCTTTTTTAAATTCACAAGTATTGAAGGTTTCCTACTGAGCTGAATGGTTTACAGAGGAAATATCTCTAAGACATTTTCACCAGAAGCACGGCTGAGTCCTGCTGCTTGGACACCCCCACCCCACCCCCCCAAATGGATTTAAATAAACTCCAAAAATCACAATTGCAAAGAAAACTGAAACTATGGAATTGAAGTCATGAAATAAAAGAGTAAAGCAGCAGCAGAGCGGTTGTGTTAGGGAGGAGGCCTGCAGCGGCCATGTTCTGGTAGAACCCGTCCGAACCTGCAGCTCCACATCCACATGCTGCACTTAAAGCTTTCAGCTGGTTTTTTTAAATCTATCTGATTATTTTTTTTTGCAAAACCGAGCCTTGAACGGGAGCCTGATGACGGCAGGTCTGCTTATTTCACAAAAAGGGATGGAAGGTTTAAAATCTGTCCCACAGGGACGGTCCACCCCCCGCTGGGTGCCGGTGCCGCCCCCATTAGGTTCCCCAGCCCAGGTGAGAAATATTAGCCTATTTCATGCCAGAAATATTCCTTCTGAACTATTTATGT